AAACTGAGAGTTTATGAGACATTTTTGTGCTGCGCGATTTCAAAAGAAATCCAAATTGACTTAAATTAGCTTTATTTATAATGCATGAATCAGGTTACTAAACTATTGGCAATACATTAAATTCAATTAGATGCATTAAAGTGTACATTCTTTGACTAATTTCATTTTGTAATTTTCCTTGGTTTCATTCTATCCATGAATAAAATTGAGAAAACAATTACATAATGTAATTCATTTATACTTTTGCATTATACCTTTAGTGCTATTGAAATAAACATGAGAATTAGATGATTGTGGTTATATCCTATTTAAAATCACAAAAAGTAGCAAAAGAAGTTAAAGTATGATTGTATGCATTCTTGTTTTGAAGGTATATATATTAATTTTAAGTGGCAAGCTATTATGTTATAATAATAATTTTTAAGATAACATATTCTTTATATTAAACATTCTGTCTCAAAAGTTCATAGACTCAACTTTATTACGTGTTTTAGAAAAACTGAAAGGAACACAAACACCAAATAAAAAGTCTCTCTATTTCCATCATATGTGACTTGCTTTCCAGTAAATATTCAACTAAAATCGCAATTTGTATTAAAAAAAACACAGAAGAATGCACGTTTCAAAAGTTTATAGCATATTAACATTTTAACAACTTGTGATCAATTTCAAATAACTTAATTGTTCAGTCACTCCATTATTCCGTATGACGTCAAGTTTTCTCCATCAAGAGAAGTAACTTTTGTTATAACTCAGGTTCCGCATTGTACCATACACTCTTGATGGCTGCTTCTAAGGCAATCGTGGAAGAAAAACTGCGTTCCATTCTCATAAACTGTCAGAGACATATTCACGATCGGGTTTGCAGAGTTGCCAACTCTCCCGATTTTCGGCCGCTCTCCCGCCAACCCGATTTACAATATATTTCTCCCAACTTTTTCGTATTTTTATAATTTCTCACGATTTTTATGGAACTTGGCTTAATACTTCGTTATATGAACAAAAAAAAAGTCAATTTGGACATCTAAAAGCAATTGAATTTTCTCTAGATTATATCTAAAACAAAGAATATTTTGTGAAGAACGAATATTTATGTTTGTTTCTTCAGACCTTAACAAAGTTTTTTTTTAATTCATTTTGTCATCATTCGATGTTCTTAACACAGTTCTACAAAGCAGAATTCCATAAATTCATGTTTTGAAACAATGATTTATGATCTGTTTAAAGACATTTTATCAAAGTTTGTAAAACCTGTCTGTGTTTTGTCTTGTAATTCTATATAAGATGTGATTTATGGTGAAATAGTTAATCAAAAGAAAGATGAAGATTTGGTATTAGGAGCTGTAACTGCAAAAGTAGTGGAAGAACTTTCAGAAGACAAAAAATTAGTTTTATCTTCATGTTAGAAGTTACTTCTGTCGAGTATGCGATTACATACTACATAAATTTCCAGTCAACGATGAAGTGATTTTGCATGCTAAAGTTGCTGATGTTTCTGCTCTAGCAAATGTATCTTTTTCTAATACAGTCAAAAGTCGTTAATTCGGACACCTATAATCCGGAATGATCTATAATCCGGACCTCAAATCTAAAATCTTTCTGCGCATGCGCCGCATTGACGCATGCACATAGGCGTTTTACTCGTGCGCCCAAGACATTTACGACTGCGCATATGTGTCTGCGCAAGTGCAGAATACGTTTTCGCGTGCGCGTTTAATGTATAACGGATGGTATAAGCTAAAATTATCTAATTATCTATTTCAGTTAATGTTGATGATTGTGTTGTTCCTTAATCTTCGAATTGGATCCGGCTTATTATTTTTTGCAGACTGTAAGAGCAATTCTAAAAGTAAGCTTGAACTTTCGATTATGTCAAATAGAATTTCCGATGCTGGAGCTCCCAAAGGATCTAGAAAACGAAAGTATGTTTCGATGTCCATCAAACAAAAAACGAATTGCTACAAAAAATGGATAATGGCATATTCTTTGTTTATCTAACCGTTCCGAAATCTGTTTATCAATTTCACGTTGCTCTGCGCGTGGGGGGGGGGGGACGTCGCGGTGCGCAATGAACTGGAAGTTGATTTGTCAACACTATCGTTATCTTCAGGGCAGATGTTTTTATTTTATTTGGCTTATAATTCCTTACTAAATGTAGTATTTAATTTCGATGTACTCCGTCTTTGATTTAAATCAAATTCCTCGTCATTATAAATATCACGAATACAAATCAAATAGTTTTCTGGTTGCAATTTTCTAATTTTGGCTATGCGTAAGGTATGCTTAACGCATCCGCGCGTTCAAAGAAATGTTTAATAAAGTAAACAAATAAATATTAGGCTTCTTTTTTGGTAAATTTTGATACCCTTTAGATCATAATTGTTCATTATTTTATAAATTACGGTTTCATATTTTTAATTTTATAATTTCTGCATGCCATCTTACCAGATTTAAACTGATGATCTATAATCCGGAATCGCCGAAGTCCCGACGAGTCCGGATTAAAGACTTTTGACTGTATAAGGCACTTTTTGAACAGATTTCCTGTGTTACTTCATTTAATCATGAAAGATGATGATATCGGTGTTGCCACTGATGATATTGCAATCGCAATTTTGCAGTTTACAATTAGAAAACTTGGATGTAATTATAAAAATCAGCTAGGATTAACACCAAGTGGAGTTTAATTGGAAAACTGAAAAGTGCTGTTGGAATTTTAAAACATAGTGAACTGTCTAGAATTATGTTGGCTATCTTGACAGTTCCCCATAGTAATGCAGAGTGTAAGAGGATTTTCAGTGTTGTTGCGAAAATAAGGACTAAATTTAAATCTAACGTTGGTGATGACACATTAGAAAAATTTTTATTACTGAAAGCAGGCCTACGTGGCTATTGCTATGAACCAAATTATGAAGTTTCTTTCTTAACAAAAGCAAAATCTGCCACTTCATAACATTTGTATAAAAACTGATTAAAGTGTCTTTTTTTTTTTTATTATTTATTTATTTTTCTTAAACGATGCAAGTAATAAAAATGTTTTTTATTTGTAAGGTATTTTTGTGTTGCTTGCGTTTAAGAATTAGTAACTATTTAAAGTTAATTCATTTTTAAAAACTATATTTTTATCATTTAAAAAGTCTTTTTAACATTGTGAAAAATCTCCTGATTTTTTAGTGTCATAGGTTGGCAAGTATGGGTTTGGTGGCCACTCAAGAACAGTGAGATTTTCCATGGCTAAGTAATTTTTTTTCGCATTAGAAGTATGAATGGCAGCATTGCCATGCTGATATGCTCAATTTTGTAGTCTGGTGTTTTAAGCAAATGTCATTAGTGTTTCTATGTATTCAGATGAATTTTGCTGACCATGTAGAAATGTGAAACCCACTTGCCCGTTGAAACTGAAAGCTGCCCATATCATAACAGATCCACCTCCACTGTTGCTACTGAAGCAGCTCCAAGGTTTTTTTCGTAAGTCATGCTACAGGGTCATCTAGATAAAAATTTTTTTTCTAATCGCTAAAAATCAGAGACCATTTGTCTGGCCCATTGCTATCTCATTCATTTGTGAAACTTTGAGAGTAGTTATCAGGCCATTTTACGTGATGTGGCCAGATTCCTTCATTCCCCTATGAACAGTGTTTTTGGATATTTGCAATCCACAAGTATCGTAATTTGGCTAACCAAATATTTTTGTATTAAGACATTCTTTGTAATTAAGACACATGCTGAACAAATACTAATTCAGATGTCAAACAACAAAAATCAGTGTTATATTTTCAAATTTTAACAGGACTAGTTTCGATGGTTTTTACCGAACCATCGTCAGCTGCAACGTGCAAATGAACAAGATAGAATATAATGATCAGATAAGAAAGCCTAGACATAAAATAAGTTAGTGGCACTAGAGGCATTTCACATTCAAAAAAATCTTTCTGTTCTAGTTAATGATCCTAATTCCAATCCATCTTTGCCTTTGGCCTTTAAAGAAATTATGTTTTAGTTCTGGTTTCATCAACAGATGCTGCCCCTAGCTTATTTTCTGTCCAGGCTTTCTTATCTTATCTGACCATTATATTCTATCTTGTTCATTTGCGCTTTTGCAGATGACGATGGTGGTTCGGTAAAACCATCGAAACTAGTCCTGTGAAAATATAATGCTGATTTTTATTGTTTGACTTCTGAGTTACCATTCTTTGTATTCGTGTGTTGCTGTGACTGTCCATTACTCAGGAACTTCCTGAATGTGGTTTTGATTGATGCATGTCGATAAATCATGCTTACAGGTCCATTCAGAAGTTTCAAAATTTCCTTAACAGACCTACCCTGAAATTTAAAGTTCAGAATAATAGTTAATAGTTGATGAGAATGTTACAGGTCTTTAACTATAGTTATAATGTGACAGGCTTCCTAAGAAATATAAAGTAGATTGCGACATCATGAACAGCATTACTAAACTTTTATCAGACATTTCATAGTTTCCTGTATATTTCTCCGATAACATGATTTCCATCTTTTCTCACTACTGAGTAGTTTCATAACATACTATGGTACAATAATCTGAGTTGAAATAATAGTGGCAAACCATGGTAAAAAGCTGCATAACTTGCTTATTGGGTGGCAGTGTTACTTTGCAATAATGCAATTCAAATAATCTTTATTCTTTTTTTAATTGGAGGTTTGAAAGAGGCCATTATCGTATAAAAGGCTGAAGTTCCCCATCATGATTATTGCTAAATTCACATAAAATTACATTTGTCTATAAACTTTTAGGGCACTTCCCTTAAAGACAAATTGATATTTTTGTTAAATATTTGCTCTAATGCAAGACACTTGTGTTTTAAATAAACATATATTGCATCATTTTATACATTTCTGTTTTACTTAGACATATAATTTACTTGAGTGTATAAACTTTTGGAACAGAGTGTATGTGTCATGTTCTTTATTTGATTAGTTATATGAATTTTAAAATTTTTATTAAAGTGCATTTTATTTTTTAGAAGCATACCCTAATTTTGAAATTGAAATACATGCGGCTACATGTGGAGATTTTCAACAGTATTCCCTTGATGAAGTGCAGATCATTAAGGAGCGTTTGGTTAATGCCGTGGAACAATCAGCTGTTGAACCAGAAGTATTGATTGTCGAAAACAATAATATTACTACTACTACTGAAGCTAAAATGTCTGTTTGTCCCATTTGTGGTCTTTTGGTTAAAAATGAGGATCTGAAAATGCACTATGATTTTTGTGTTTGTTTTCATTAATGGTGTAATTATGATATTTGTATTGTAAATGAAAGCTAAAGTTGTGAAAAATAAAATATTGTGTTTAATATATGAGAGTTGAATAGATTGAGAAAGGGGAGCTAATATAGTGATGGGAATATAAAAGTAAATATTTATTTATGTATAATATGTATTAATATATTTTATATATATTGCATATAATATCAGTGGCTAAAGATAACTGTCTTAGTACAAATTTCTCTTATCTATTTTTCAGTAAAATACGTAAATCCACCAGATAGGATCTGTTAATGTTCTCTGTTGTTGCAAGAGTATTAGTAATAGGTTAAATCTCCTTTCACTGCTGTTGTCTTTTATTGCAAACTGTTTACCAAGCTCTGGAAAAATGCTGTTGGTAATTCATTGTTGCAATGCACTGCCACAAAGCTTTTTGTCAGGTTCATCGTTTATCGTGCTTTTCATCTTTCTGTTGAATTAGTATTACCCGCCAGATGGTCCCGTTATTGCTGTGCATTCTTGAGATGAGACAATATTTTGTAGTAGTTTCTCGGGTTGACAACATACTGTGCATTTCATCATACTTGATATTTAAATTTCATGTTCTTACCAAGTTAATTGTTAAATATACTAACTCATCTTTACAGTAAAATTAGAAACCAAGTGCACATTTCATCACATAGAAATATTTCAGCTTGTAGGCTGCTGGCAAGCTAAAATAAGTTCTAGAGCTGTACACAAAGGCATCAGAAAACATTGAACAGAATGGATAATTAAGGAAAGTGAAAAGAGAAAAAATATCAAGAAATTATACTGACAACAAGTAAAAATTATTTCTATATTTGAAATAACAAATGAGTAAATTAATTAAAGCTAACTATGGACCTTAGGATTTTTTATTTAAAAAAAGTACTGTTTTATACAGTATTCTTCATTGTCAGATAATTACTTTTTTATTTTGGCTTCTAATCCTGTAAATCCTTTTTCACTGAAAAGCAACCCGTGCATATAAGGGCAGTTCTAATAATGCTGCTGAAATCCCTAAGTATTTATTTCTCTTGATGTGAAGCCATTTTGACATGGGGAAGCTTTTCTCAAGTCTTAAACTTTTGTGCTTATTTTGCTTTTTAAGGATAGAATGAGTTGCGTTTACTAGACAAAGCTAATTCTAGTTTCACTAGTTACTAAAATACAGGTTTCATTATTAATGGAATTTTCTGTTATTATTGTTATTCATTTGTAAAACAAAGTACAGAAGTTCATTTTTCTGTGTGCTTCGGGTTGTATTACAAGTCTGCTCAAAACCTGAAAAAGTGAGAGTTAAGCTCCACCTGAATCTTATGTCCTGACAAGGCATCGTGTCCCATTGTAGGAGATTCTACTGTGTTCACTCCGCATGATAGAGTACTTGTTATAGTATTAATGTATATGTAGCATCCCTTATTAGTCATTTGTATCGACATCATATGCCTAGTATTTGTTTAATTTTGGCATATATAGGCATGACTAAACTTCGGTTCTTTAGTCCCTTAAATATGAAATATGGCATGCAAATATCTTAACCCTTAAATTCTACTCTCTTGCAACAAACAGTTTTCTGTAATATATCTTAATAATATCAAATGTATTTTGAAATTGCACAAAGATGAATGAAGACGCACCTGTCTGTCAACCAATATATTAATTTCTTAAATTATAAAATGTGTTTAATAATTTAAACAATTTCAACGTGGTCATTGCTAATCATCAGAGCAGAATTGCGCCGGAGCCCGGCTCCGGTACTTCTTAGTTTTTGGGATCAATCATTGTTCTAGCCGGAGCGCACCGGAGCCCTAAATGAGAAACCTCCGGCACGTCTTTTATGTAATTGAACAATTTTAGTTGAAATTTGATCCCGAAAATTTTATTTTTTGCAGTAAATTTATATTAAAAATCACGTATTAAATTTTAGTTTATCTTTTTACCTTTCATTCAATTATAATTATTTAAATAAATAATAGGTATTGATTAAATAATAATTGATAAATATTAAATATTAATATCATTTAAATATTTACTTATTAGTTTGATAATTATAACTGTTTAATTTTTAATGATTTTAATAGTCATTTTATTTATTTATTTACTTTTTTCCCTCTTTGCTGATGGTCTTCCATAGGGCTCCGGCACTTCTAATTTTAGAAATTAAGCCCTGCATCAGAGTAACAAACAAAATGGTAGATAGTTTTGTTTTTGTGAATTATTCCCATGAGGAGATTGCCATTAAAGCAAAGGATGGCCAAAAAGTGACCAAACAGCACAAAAGTATAAAAAATATTTAAAAAATAGTATACTCTTTTGTACAATTGTGCCCTGACATTCAAAATGAATTGTCCATCCCTCGGCAAATCAGGTCATATATTTTTCTGCACAGGATTCTTAAAAACACACTGTAGTCAATACTTTTCCACATAATGACACTTTCATGATGATTATTTGGTAATCCTAAGCAATGATCATATAGTACAATTATGTTTGTTCACATCAAGTTTTTTGGAGTTGCAAGAAAGAAGGATTTCCCCACTGGATTGACAGCAATTTCAAATTTGGTTCAAAGTTTTGTCAATAGCAGTTTTCGAAACAAGTGTACTTCACCTTTCATATCAACTCTTGTTTCAATAAAGCATCAAGAAGTGAAATATCCATCGGGTACAAACTTTTCTCTCTTACGAAGCTTTTCTCAAAATGCAGTATACTGATACTGGTGAAATTTTTGTAGCTTATATTTCTTGACATGTTGCTTGAAGAATTTCTTTCCAACCAAAGATGTACAATCTTTTTTATGAAGTAGCTCTCAAAATATAGTTTACGAAAACAACAGCCCTAACAGAACTATGTTCCACTGCTTTGGATTGATCATGACAGAATTCAGATAATGCACTGCGAAATAATAACCATTGGGATTTTCATGTAGACTTTACGTTTTAAAATAGGATCTTTTGATTCCCTACAGGAACCAATCCAGTATACTCGTATTCAAGTAAACTCAGACACTTACTTTTGTCCGAAATTTTCAGCTGCAGATAATGCAAATGTATACCACCAGCCTAGTTGTTAAGAACTACAAGGTTTTAATAGGACCTCGTATATGTAATGTGAAGCACATCTATCGAAACTGACAAAGGTCTGTCAAACTGCTCTCACACATCCATTTTTTTCGGAAGAACAACTGTTTAGAACAATTTTACTGCTTTGTCACAACAGCTTATCACCAGAGATCGCTTTGGGATGAACTGGTAAAAGGAAAACTGGTTCTTCAATACAAACAAGCTGATAGGTTGCAAGTTATTTATATGCAACTTGCAATTTATTTCGAAAGGTAGGAAAAAATCACGCGTCTTTCTTTCAATAGTTAACCAGCCAGAAAAATTGTCTGAAACAGTTGTTCGTAGGAAACAAATTTGTGTGTGATATGGGTCTAACGGTGGCTTCAAATTGAAACTTGGCTGGTCCAACATCAAATAAGCTTATACCAAAAGATATGGTCTAACTTAATTTTACATAAAACTAAATGGGGGAAAATTACATAAATTATGTAGAAATTTTCAAATTCTTCATTTTTCAATTAATATGTAACATTCATTGAGCTGTCATTAAGTGCTCCAAAGACTTTTCGTTTTTTGCAGTCCATACTTAATAAATGTTCTTGGGGCCATATATTATTTATAGTAGCAGTAGAAGATATTTTCTGAATATGCTTTGAAACGAAGTAGGTTCCTGGATATTAGTTACATCACCATTTGACCAACAACACAACCATGTACAGTACTTCATATTAAATTTTCCATAATACATCACGAACTTTCCATAGGTAGTGATCTTAAGAAATTTTGGCAGGAATGCGAGAGAGAATCTTTCTTTGCATATCGGATCATCTTATTTATTCCAATTTTTTTTACACACTTGCAAAACTTTGCTTTTATTGTTAAAACTGGAATTTTTGTTTTAAAATCGATAATAGAGCCACAAATTTTATTCCAGTTGCACCACCCACTTTGCAGTGGTGCATTATTTTTTAAATGACTTATTTTCATTTGCTTTTACCTCCCTATATCTTATACACACATTACAATATATTGATGATGTATCTCAAATATCACTGTACGATTATATGTATTTTTTAAAGTCCCTTTGGAAAAACTAAAGGTAGATTATTTATTTTATTGAATCTGAATCTTGAATGATTATCGAATCCTTCAAATAGGAATAAGATGATCAAGAAAGATAAAAAATAATTTATTTCTTATTAAAAGTTTTTAAAGTAAAGGTCAAAATATGAAATCTAGTGTGAGGAAAAAAACAAATTTAAGAATGTAGTTTTTAATAAAATACACGTTTTTATTAAAAATATACAAATTAAATTTAGTAAATGGAATAAGTAATTAAACTCTTGAAATGACAGTTTGACAAACACATTTGGGCAAAAAGTTCAGATTTCAGTTAGTTCAAAATTCAATAACCATGTCTGAAGAATTAGTAGATACCTGGAGTCGAGTGGGACGCAGCAATGATATATCATGGCATTAGTTGCCTGAAACATGTAGGGCTTATGAGAAGTAGGTTATCTATGTTCACATCTATCAAGATGAAAGTTAGTTTCGAGAAAGCGCAGTGGGATGATTACCGTATTTGACGCCATATAAGACGCACTATTATTTAAAAGGCCACACACATACAGATGTAGAAAATGTTATGTGTGTCTAGACCTTTATCCGGGCAAAAAATAGCATTCAGTATTGAAAGTTAACCTGTGTCCTTCATGTATAAGACGCAGGTAACTTTTTTGAGACCAAATTTAGGAAAAAAAGTGCGTCTTATATGCCATCAAATACGGTACTTGAAAATTCTGCTACCTTTTGCTGAGTATCAATGTTTAGATTTGAATGATGGAAAAAAGAAAACTAATAGTACAGTTTTGGAATTTAAAATATTTTTGAAGTTTCATGGAATCTCAGGATGCAGACGTCCCGTTCATAGAAAAAATAAAATGTAACTGCTAGTCCAGTTTTCGTCTAATCAATTAATTCAATTATTTACAATCCAATAATTATATG